CAGACATGGCAGCCCACATGGATGCGGCGGCTTCCAAGCGGTGCCTCAGGTCGGTCTTACGCATCGAGAACACCCTCGCGCCCCTTTGGCGGTGCGGCTGGCCGTTTCGCGCTCGCTAATCCACGCCGGGGCGTTCTCGATGCGTAAGATGGGATCGAAGTGGCCTTGGATGTGGTCCTTCTGTGACCTGCCAGACGTGGCGAAACCGCTCGACAGGTCAGACATGGCAGCCCACCTGGATGCGGCGGCTTCCAAACGGTGCCCCAGGTCGATGCTACCCATCGCGAACACCCTCGCGCCCCGTTGGCGGCGCGGCTGGCCGTTTCGCGCTCGCTAAGCCACGCCGGGGCATTCTCGATGCGTAAGATGGGCTCGACGTGGCCTTGGGTGTGGTCCTTCTGTGACCTGCCAGACGTGGCGAAACCGCTCGACAGGTCAGACATTGCAGCCCACTAAGTATAACTACGCGCAGATGTTGTGAGAATTACTGTCAGCTACCGCCGTTGCCACCGACAATTTTACTAGAACAGGGAATGATACTACTGGGATTCGAACGTGAGCGCTGACAGACGAAAACAAGCGCGATACGGATTGGACTACTTCGCAACAGTAATGCCAACGGTTCTACTTTGCTTTTGCTCTTCTTGTTTCAGGGTTCATCGAAAAAGTTGGCTCTAGTCTTCGAACGCTGGTGATACTAATCGTAGTGAAGAATGCTGCCGATTGAGCTACTTCGTCTGTATGCTCGAGCAAGAGCGCGAATGCTTTCTTTCTCGACGTTGGTTCTCATGACCTCAACAGGATGAGGACACGACTTGAACTGCAGTCGCAGTGACTGAAAGCAAGAACTCACGGATTGACTCAGCACAACAATACAAGGCGCACGGAGTTGGATATTCTCATGCGGATTGTGATGGAGGTTGCAAGGTGTTCGCAGTTGAACTGGCCACTTTGTCCGAAGTCTATTGGTAGGCTGTACTGCCTGACGCCTGGCCTTATAGGGCTCAAGGTCGTGTTTTCCCTGTGGAAACGGTTGGGTTTGCAAATGTCAGAATGTGGGGCTCGAACCCACGACGTGCCAAAATGAGTCCAGTACTAATACCAACTGAGTCAGCTTGCTTCGGTTATGCAGGAGAGCGGAAGTTTCAGATATTCTGAAAATATGGCCAAGATGTGACCAGGTGCTTTAAATGGAGCCAACAAGATTCGAAACTTTGACGCAACGACTTCACGGAACTCATTGGGATGGGTGATGGTTATTAAGTCGCGAAATCTCATGAAGATGCATGTTTTGGGAGTTTTTGTTCTTACCCGGAATAGAGCCACCCCATTTCCAGACCATGAAGACCGTAGTCGAACTCACTAACCACTACACCAATCTTACTCCCTGAACATGATGCACGGCGATGAACGTACCGAGCAAGGAACATGATGACTACGAAGCGGAGCATTAAATTTGGCAGACGATAGGAATAGAACCCTCATGATCTACTGCGATACTTTCAGCCTGTGAACGTCTTAACCATTAGACCAGAATGGCAGTTGATGTATGTAGATGATGTCGCGTAGTGTTCTAGTCGTCGAATGGTGTGAACGTCCAAAGCTGTAGCCTATTCTTGTGAACTAGTGAGGCTACTCTTGGCGGCAAGGAACAAGAACAAAGCGGCCAGATGCTAGGGAGTTTACGGTTACAAATTTACTCAAACTCCCCCTACGTAAAGTGCCTAAAGCTACCCCGCTACGTATACTTTGTCCTTCATGAAATCTCGGTAACTATCAACTTCAAACTCAGCCCCATCATCGTCCCACTTTGCTCCTCTGTGGTCCTCCTTCCAGAACGTGTTGATGCACCAAACTCTTCCGCGCTTGCCGTCCTTCTGAAATCGATGGGACTCAGCGGCGCAGTCATCGACGTGAGTCTTGGTGTCAACGACTCGCTCCATGCTAGCAGGGTTCTTGATTGACAACTTCGTGGACCGGTTCCGATTCATCAGCAGGTGGCTGCGTTGATAGACAGCATCGATCGCAAACAGCTCTGTGCGACAATTTCCTGACAAACGACTCTTGACTTTGCGATCCTCTTCTGGCAGTTGTGCAAGCACTAGCTGACCACGAGGAAGAGGCTGAATCTTCGCTGCATGTTGCCTTGCCAAAAGTCCACTTCGATACTCGGTGATAATCTTCCTTCGCTCCTGCACTAGCTTCTGTCTTTCGCGTCGTCGTCGCACTGCGTCGCCAAACTGGTCGGTGAGAGATTCAGCCTCAGCGTCACCTACTGCTAGTGGTTCTTGTGTCAACATCTCCAGTGTTGTGAGGTTGTCGCGAGCAACACACGGCGCACTTCGCATTCGCCACCGAGTCTGCGTGGTCAGCTCGTCCCACTCCTTCGACCGGCGGAAGGTGAAAAGCTTTCTGCTGAAAGGGTGGACGCGTTCTGTAGCCTGCTGCGACTTAGGGTTGTACGCTGTTCCCAGTACCAATCGAGTGCTGGGAAACTCAGCCCGCAGGAGCTTCCTGATCCTTGAACCTTCTGAAAAGCCAAAACCGTTGCCAGCACGGATAATTCTTGGCGCACCAAATTCAAGGAAGATGCCACGCAGGATTTTTATCACGGTACCGGCGTCCTTTGCTGCAGTAGGCCTTCCCCAGAGCCACACGGTTGCGCTGTCAACACAGGCGAAGAAGTGTAAGCTGCCCCGCTTAGTTTTCTTGAGCGGCCCCTGAAAATCCATCGCATACTTGTCGCGAAACTTCAGCGCGCTCTCGTTCAGCCTATGGGCTGTCCGTTCCGGGACACCATGATAGGCCGCGCAATCCGCACAGCGCTGAACAAGCTTAGTGCAGTCAGACCAGACGCTGGGCCACCAAATTCCCATCTGATGAAGATGCGCCACTGTTCCAGCCGCTTTCGCATGCGTGCTTTCCTGGTGCGCGGAGTTCAAGAAAAACTTTCGGGCAGTTACTCCTCGAGGATTGTCAAGGTTGACCTCCCAAATTCCTTCAGGAACATAAACAGCCCAAGTCCCTTGTTCAAAAACTAGAAGGCAATCCTCGTCATCGACTTGGTGCGGCCGCAAGACGCATTGCAGAAGCGCTTCGCGCTTGTCTCCAGCTGAAATCCTGGCGCCCATTTTTTCGAAAGCTTCGGCTGAGGTGAAACCAGTGGGGAGATACTCAGCAGCACGTCGTAGGTGCGCACCCTTCGGACCTTTTTGCTGCAGGGCTGTTATGCGTTGAACCCAATCACGACGAAGTTTTTCAGCTGGTGTCCGTCGTCTGTCGGAGCGACGAGTGCGGGTCTCACCAAAGAAAACTACTGCGGTGAGATCAGTTGCAGGAATTGCTTCAAATTCCCACGCTTGTCCTGCTTGAAGTTTGTCTTGGGTGTATTTGACCACATGGAGCCTTCGCCGGTCGGGAATGCGCGCCCATTCTTGACCTTCTTGAGGACGGACAACTTGCACCAGAGTCGGCTTTTCACCTCTGAAGAAATGCCTGAAAAGTTTCTCATCGGGCAGCGTTTCGTCGGAGTAGAAGTCCTCCAGTTTTGGCATCTGCGGCGAATCGGGAGTGCCGTCCTGAGACTTTTGCTGAATCGGCACTGCCAGGGAGTCAAGGCCAACACCAACTGCCGTCTCGTCTTGTTGCAGCAAATCTACTGGCGTTTCAACTTCGAGCTGAGAAGAACTACTATCGCCAACACTTTTCGCCCCTGCATTTGGGACTTCATCATCGTCAGGAACTAGGGCTGCTTGTGGCTGTAAGTCGGCATCTTCATTTTCCAGGCCGGGGCCATTATCAGAATCTGATTGGGCTCTACACTTGCAAACAAAATGTTTCCCCCCAGACCAATCAGGTCTAGTGCCTGCTTCTGCCGTAGGACATACTTGGCGGAGCGACATGCAAGATGGATCCCGTGCGGGATGTGAAAACTTCAGTGGTAGTTGTTCTTGCAGCACTTCAAGGTCCACCGTTTTGTATTCGTCCAGGTGCAAGTCCAGAACGTAGAAGCTTCGTGGGTGGTGCTCTTCGTTCATTTCGGAGGGAAAGTAGTCAGCCACAGCTCGGGGCGCTGCTCGTCGAGCAGGTTGTTCTGTCGGATGCTCACTATGGAAAGTTGGCACGTCAGTCTGAAAGCCTTTGCGCCAGTCTAGCTCCCACGGGAAAGCAATTTTGTTGACGGTCCATCTACGACCGCGATCCTCGTCGTACTTTAGCACGACGTCTACGGCTGACGAAGAGAGACTAGAGTATGGCGATTTTTGATGCTGATCAGCACTAGGTGGTTTGAAGACGATCGAGTGCATCGATGCGGAAGGTACAGCTGGCATGTTGGGTGCTCGAGGGTCAAGCAAGAAGTCCAAAATCTTTCGGGCTGAAACCGGAAACGGTAGGTCTTCGTTGCGAATGGTAGACGTTTGTGCTGATGGATGGCGCGAAGCTGCATCCGCTAAAACATTGATAGCGCCACTGATGTGAACACGATGCACTGCGCCCGAGTCTAGTCGTTGCCGCACTACCTCGAGCCCGCGTAGTATCTTGTCGCGGACACGTTGGCTACCCAGTAGATCGCCGACTCTATCGAGATTTTCATGGTCAAAGAGAAGAAAGATCTCAAGTCCATCAACGTACTGCCAGCCATCTTCGCAGAAAAGTTTAACAGCACTAAGTTCTTGCTCAAGGACACTCCGTCCCTGCTGGTGCTCATCGAAGCTCACCCCTTTGATTACACAAGGCCGCAGTGGTCCTCCTGATCGTGCTGCTTGGCCGATGACATAGCTTCGACCGTATCGTGACGCGTCACATGTAACTACCACTGGACGGCCTGTCTTTCGCCAGTTATGTGCTGCTTCGAAGTCGATGCTGGTCAGTGGGACATCATCTGCGAAGCTGTTTTTCAGCTGCAGCAGCGCATCTTGTGCTTCGACATCGTCAGAAAAATCCGACCACGGTTTTCCGCGTTTCTTCGTGTAAGGAGCTAGTGGACCTCGTTTCCGTTGGTAGTCGGGGATGAATTCCCGAAGGTAGTCTGCGAACGCCAATAGGCTGGCCAGGTCGTCCTTGCTTTCGAGCTCCGGCCAGTTTCGAAGCTGTTCAACCTTTTTTGGTGTAGGCGTCCGTCCTTTTTGGCTGATGTTGAAACCTAGAACCTCCACTGCCTTCTTGCCGAGCACGGACTTCCTCAAGGACAGGGTAAAGCCAGTAGCCTCGCACCGATCAAACAGCTCCTTACTACGTCTGAGAAATTCATCAAAATCTTTACCCTTGTAGATCAAGTCGTCGATGAAGACTCCGTCCACCACATCCTCAAACGCACTAGCTGTTTGTTGTTGAAAGAATGCGGGAGCTGGAGATGGACCAAGTGGTAGTCTGGTGGGGTAGTAGCAGCCATCTGGACCGACGACAGTGAGCAAACGCTGCATCCGTTCCGAAGGTTCAACTTGATCGTAGCCCATCGCAAGACCGCATGCTCCAAAGTAGTATCCGCCTTCAAGATTTTTGAAAATCTGGAGTGCGTCGGGCATCCGAAAAGCGATAGACTTGAAGTTCTTGCTCACAGCCCGGCAATCCACCACCATGCGCTTGGTAAGGTGCCCTTTGCGATCAGCACAGAAAACAGGTGAGACATGAAGTGGCGGGGGCATCGTGCTGTCGACCTTGATGAGCTTGCCTTCGCGAATTTGCTCCCGGATGAGGAAGTCCATGCGAATTTTATCCATGACCGATAGAGGATAAGGCGCGAAGCACTTCCAAGCAGCGTCGTCTTTCGTTTCAAAGTCAGCGACTATTGGCGAGCCACTTTTGTCTCGCAGAGTAGGAAATGGACAACCAAGGTCGTGAAACGCATGAGCTCTATCGCGAACCAGCTGCAGAAACTTGGACCGCTCTGCCTCAGTGTCGAAACCTAGCCCGTCGTCCTTGTAGCGGTCGTAGACGATCTTCTTCCACTCTTCCGAATGCGGATCGATCATTTTGACCAGCTTCTTTTCCTTCTCCTGTATTTCCGTGAGTAGCTCCTCTGCTCTAGTTTGTCAGTTTCTTCTTGCTTCTCGAGCTTCTTCGTGTATTTTGCGTTTCCAAAAAGTCCATCTGTAGTAGTGGCTCTTCCAGGGCTACTAGAAGGCGAAGAAATCGGAGTAGTTCTTGTTGCTGCACTAGAAGTTTCTGATGTTGTACTAGACTTCCCTGTTGTTGCAGGGGCTGTCGTCGGGGAAGTAGAAACATTACGGGCCAAAGCTTGCATTTCCGAATAACGTTTTTCGGAGCCAAAACTTGCATGCTCATCGGCACTATCCGATGTGGAGGCTGCAGCACCCTCCTGATCGCCACTTCTTTTAGCTGCAGCATCTCTAAGACCATAGAGTTGACGTAGTCAGTTGACCTGTCGCAACAGCGACGGGTCGTCAGTGTCTTTGATCTTCGTCAAAAACTGGATTAGGTTATCACCACTAGCTTCCAGAGCAAGCTTCAGCTCTGCATCGCCCGCACTAGAAGTCCCGCCGTACTGTAGAGCAAGTTCTTCCTTCTCGGCTTCAGTGTGTTTTTTCGCTTTCTTATGCGCCTTCAAGGTGGCACGGCGCTCGCGTCTGTTGGGCTGATGCAGCTCCGGGTAGCAGAACGTTTGCGCAAAAGCACTAGTCATCGATGCGTAAGAACCACTAGTATCTCCGTCTAATTTTCTAGCAGGAGCAGAAGTTGCTGCAGCACTTGTTGTTTCATTCTGATGATGTTCTTCTTCGGGCACACTGACTGCAGCCTTTCTCCTCGCTGCTTTCTGAGCGTCTTGTTGTTCACTAGGATTTGCAGCATTCAGTCTGGGCAGCAGCTTCTTTTTGAGAGTGCAAATTTCGTGTAGTCCGATGGTCCTTGCTTTTACGTTCGGGCTGTACAGGCTGACTGGCAGCGCTTCTGGCAGAGACTCTGCTTTGAAGATTGTCAGCCCAGGATAGAACTCGAGTGCCTTAGCCTTGAATTCTGGGGAGACATCCAAACCATATGCTGCGTCAGGGTCTCTTGAAACTTGAGTACGAACCTGCTCGATCACGGGCGGTATGGTGGCCATCGAGTTCAAACTTCCTGCTTCCCCGAGTCGCAGCAGCATGCCATCTGAGCGCTCAGACCAGTACTGCTTCGGCACGTTTCGGCACACCAGAAACTTAGGAGCTCGCTCAAATCCCAAACCTAAGGCGGAAAACATGCTGTAGCCCATCGCCGTCTGCTCTGATAGGCCCGGAATTACCAAGAACTTAATATCAGTTGTGTAGCTCTTGCCACCGTTACCGACGCCGGGAAAACTGACCTCCAGGGTGCAGTAGTAAGTCTCCAAGACGTCCCGGCGCTGTTCTCGCCCAAACGTGATCTCAGTGGAGGTTCGTGCCACTGCAAAAGCGTCGCTTCTGACCAATTCAAAAAACTGCTGTGAGATCACGGACTGTTGCTCTCGATTGACCAAAAGCCCGCTGTCCTGCATACAGATGACCTTATGGCTGGAGCCGTTGTTGCCGCAAACTTGTAGCTCTACAAATGGTCCATCTTCGCCCGTGCGAGTACCACGATAACTGTTATGGTTGTTGGGTTCCTGTTGCTGATGCTGCTGTTGCACTTGGGGTTCTGCTGGTTCCAGGATTGCAGGCATGCATTCGGTTGCATCGACGAAGAGGTAGTAACTGGCGGCCATCAAATAGGTGGCCACCGAGGTAAGCAGATCCTTATCGAGATTGACATCCAAAAATTTGTAACCAGCTGGCGCTTTGAAGCTCTTCGTGCTTGTTGGGAAGAGGCGAGTAAAACGTGAGGGACCACTGATTTTTTGATTTGAAGAAGCAGCGTCGATCAGTTTGTCGCACTCCACCGCCGTGTTTTCCGCCACTAGAATCTTGCAACGTCCATCATCTGGCATCTCGCAGCGGCTCCAGGCTTCGATCTTGTTGCTGTGGTGGACCCTGAGGGTCTCGATCGGAGCGTGCTGCCGGGGAGATTGGGCCAGCACTTTCACATCGGTTATTTCCTTCGTGTCGCCTGAGACTGCACTAGAAGCGTTGCTGTGAGTGGTGTCCCACTTCGCGACCAGTCATGCCGAAAAGCTGAAAGCTCGCGTTTGGAGTCGACTGCTTCTGCAGAAGTTCTTCTTTGCCATTACCGGCCATGCCACTAGCTTCTTGACAGATCTGCTGGAAGTCTTGACTACGAAGATGTGGCTCCGCCCTGCTGCTCAGTCCACAACAGCCTCCCGACCATACCACGCAGGTTCCTTGGTCCTTGCGTTGCTTATGGCGGCTGTTCGGTTGCGAAGCCCAGTAGCTGGGGCACAAAAGCTCTGCTTTGATCTTGTCAGGCAACCTCCCACCGACCTGCTGGCGCCACACGTCCTGTCCCTCGACGCCACTGCATGCCTCGCAGCGCTTGCTGCGTAGTTTTCCTCCTCGAAGAAGAACTTGCGTCATGTGATACTCGGCCAGATGATGCCCATTCGCGCCGTGACCTTTTGCACTACGCCGGGGTCTATCGCTTAGACCAGCACTGTTTTGTCCGCCACGTTTGCCACCACCTTTGCCACTGCCCTTTTGGATACCACCGAAAAAAGGAGTACTTTCGACATCGTCGACTTGCTGCTGAATGCCTCCGAAAGAAGCGCTTCTTCCTGGTCGCGTCGTATCCGCACGCGGTTTTATCTCCTGCTTAGCGAGAAAAACTTCCTTAGCCTGGCGCCCTTCGGCCATAGTCTGAACCGGGTGCAAGATGTGGGCCAAAGTGCGTGCTGTGTCCGGAATATCGTCGGTTTTGGTTTCGACTCGTGCGATAGCCCATGTAGGTAGGCTGCAGCAGTAGAGGACATGGCTGACCATGTCACTGCGCTCCTCGTTGCGTCCGCTTGTGCAGTCGAGAGTCCAGGACGGATTTCCGAGCTTTACGCGGAGACGCTGGCACTCCTCGAACTCCCCGGCAGACTGTCCCTGAAACCCTAGAAGCGCAGCAGCTGTTGCTCCCTCGCGGCGGACTTTGCGCAGCTCGCGTTGCTGCAGATCCAGCCCCTTGAGAGATGTCAGTCCTGCTTCAAAGCGTGCTGCTCAGAGGAAGCCCAGACATGCTGCTGCATAGGGCTCCTCTGTTTTCTTGAGTCCATGGCGGCGCGCTGTGGCTTCCATCGTATCGCTGACGCGACGCCATATGGATAGTGCGCGACCGGTGCTAGATGCTTCGAGTTCACGCCAAGCTGTGCGCTTTCGCATATGCTCTGCCCAAGTGCGATAGCGCCGCAGTTCCTCGAAAAGTTTCGCAGCTCCTGCTGCAGTCAGAGTGATTTTGCGGATCGCTGGTTTTGCGTGATCAGCGCCGCTATCGTCGTTGGGCGGAAAGCTTGCTGGCGAACTCGCTCAAGGGTCTCGCCCTGGTCTGCTTTAGTTGAGATGACGAAACGACCGAAAAAGGGGCCGAACTCTACAGATTCGAAACGTACCGGCCTACCACCAAGCGCATGCGGCGTTCGTGTTTGTAGTGTTTGACGGACTGCTTCCAACTCGATGCTAGTGACTAGTTTTGTAGGGCAGTAAGCCTCACCGGCGACGCCGTCGCGGCGTCTTTTCAGTCGTTCGAAAGAGAAACCAGAAATTTTTGATCACTTCGACTCGCTGCGACGTAGGTCGGAGCGGTCACCTTCATCGGCATTATGATTGTTGAGGCCACCGAGAGCGTCAGCGAGTGATGTTGCCTGGTCCGTGTGAGCAGGATCATCATCTTCGGCCTCGACTGGCGCAGCACTTCCATCGACTTCCTCGCGCTCTTTCTGCGCCTGAGACTATGCCAGACGCCTCGCCACCTCCTTCGCCCGAACTAGTTCGCCCAAACCTCGGCGAACGAAGCTTAGAGGCCTTTCGCGGACACCTCTCGCCCACAACGGTTGTGGCGTTTGGGTCTTCTGAAATCCTGGCCATGTGGTGGCCCACCTCGTCGACTTTCATTCGGTGCTCCCGACCGTGCTCCAGGGTAGAGGTTCCTGGTCCAAGTGCCTCGCGCGAAATTCAGCACCGCACGCCTTCCAGGCCGAGGAAGTAGCGCGCGCTTCCTCGGTAACCGAGATACCACAGTAGGAGCCCCCCTTCTCCCTCGTAGCTTTCGCCGGTACGGAGAGCCAGGCGCTTTTTCCTGACCGCGTGATGCTCCTGAGCTGCGTCCACTTCCGTCATCGTCGCGGTTGGTTTTCGGTCGGGAAACGGACAAAGCAAAGTGTTAGCCTAGGTTGGTTCCCGATGGCTGGTAGCACCACTTAAGTAAGATCGCAGGCAGAAACTGAGAAAAATGGCTAGGCATTACTGCTGGGCCTCGTCGTTGCCACCGAAAAAAGAAAATGACGCAGGTAGGACCCGAGCGCGAGGGCTGAAAAATGGAAACAGATGCGATACGGATGGCCTGGCTCTACGTGAATCCTCGCGCTTCTAGCCTTTGCTTTGACGTCTCTGGGGTCAGGTGTGACAGGAAGAATGCGAACTCTAAGACTCGAACGCTGGGCCTAAGAAATGGAGACAAGACGGATGCGAACTAGTGTACTTCACAAGTCGGCCAATGCGTTTGCTACTTTGCCAGT